TTTCATTCTTTTTCAGGAGAAGATAGAGCCTCAACCATTGAGCACGTGGGACGCTTCACGGCTCAATTGGGGGAAGTAAGCAATAATCCGTTTCACAAATTACAGTTTTTTGGATTATCGCTCACAAGAACCACTTTTTCTTGGTTCGTCAGTCTTCCACCAGGACAGTTGCAAACTTAGGAAGGTTTGGAAGCAGCTTTTCATGCAAGGTTCTTTAATCCTCTCCCGAAGGTCTCACTCACAGATCTCTTGGAGATCTGGAAGATGTCAGGAGAGACCGCCTATCAATTTATAGAGCGGATACGTCTGATGAAGGGACGATGCCCGACAGTTATTGAGGAGAGCGAGATGACCAACCTGGTGGTCAGGAATATGCATGCACGACTGCGGGAGGCTTTAACAGCCCACGATGTTCAAGACCTGGCTAGTTTGGCATCCAAGGCAGAAAGGTTAGAATCTCTGTTTAGAGAAAAAGATCACAACTTCCGGCGGAACAGGGTCCAGCAGATGGCCAGTGCCGATACAGAAATGTATGCGCCAGATGATAAGCAGGGAAGTAGCATGAAGAAATGGCGGCTGAAATTGTAAACGGCAAGCCTTTTGTGTGTTCCAAACTGAAGCCTCTTCCAGAGGCAGAAGAGCGGGAACAACCGACCTTTGATGAAATCTTTGATATTGTGCTAGCGGATGGGCAAATTCGCATCTTTAAAGGACAACGGTTAGCAACGAAAGATGAGATAAATGGGAGGCCATACTGTAAGTAGCATAATTCTTTTAAGCATTACACTAATCAATGTACGTATTTCTGAAAGGAAATACAAAAGGCTATCAAAGCAGGGAGATTCAAGTACGTGACAACGGGAGTAAAGCAGCAGACTTTCCCAAAGGTAACTACTGTTGTAATCTCTGTGCGTTCTTCACAAGACACGCAAAGAGATGATGAAGGAGATACCAAGTGAAGGAGCGTAAGCCAAACGAGCGGGAGCTTGATCAGGAAGACAAGTTCAAGGTTTGTGAAACCAGAGTGGCAGAGAAATGGGATAAAAAGAATGGTTCCTTTGAAGTGGAGTTCAAAGATAAAGCGGTAGTGTGAGATCGACCAACGCGCAAGCCACAACCAACCCATGATAAGTGGAGCTGGAACAGAAAGCCTCTGCCAATAGATATAGATCCCTGATTTCCACGTATGAATCGTACACAAATCCGTAATGCTAAGCGCAGGTATGCGGCTCGGCACGAAAAGCGAGCAGACAAAGGGAAGGAGAATGAGGAGGCGTCACCCAAAAGGAAAAGCTCGAGCGACCGACTACAGGAGCACGGGGAGATCGAAAGGCCTATCAAGAAGGCTAGGTGCTTTCGGTGTCAATTCTGCAGACGGATCAACATTGATCCTGAAGTAGGAGATGCCGAGGAAGAGGTCCCTGAGATAGTTTTTGGGACATTTGCTCCAGAAGAAACGAAGGCATTGCACAGCAAGATAGTAAAGACCGATAAAGCCGGGTTCGAGGTCAGGATGACTGGCATGCGTAGGTTCGATGAAGAAGATGAACCCATCTGGGCAAGGCTGGAAGAGGAAGAACCTGAATGGGCAGCAATGGTTGGCAGCCCCCCACCTATGGTTTTTCCGCCTATACCAGAATAAGCAATCCCACACTTGAAACCATTATATGTTAACGCTCACATCTGTGGTAAGCCAATTAACAAGGTTTTCATTGATAATGGAGCCGTCTTCAACGTCATGCCTCTCAAAACTCTGAAGAAGTTGGGAAAATGAGTTGATGATCTGTCTCCAGTAGATATCGAGATGACAAGTTTTACGGGGCAACCAACGAAACCAGAAGGGATTATGGTGGCTCCCATTGAAGTTGGACCGAAGGTGATTTCAACGGTATTCTTTGTGGTAGATGCCAACACCATTTATTCGGTCTTGTTGGGGCGAGATTGGATTCACGCTTCCAAATGCTGTCTTCTTCTCTCCATCAGCAGATCATATTTTAGGAAGGAGATCAGGTATTCAGAATGGATGTCATTACTAATCCGTTCGGCTCCACAGAAATTGTGGAAGAATCGGTACTTTATTCAGAGTATGTACCTCCGATTTCACAAACAGCTATGGTAGACGAATATCCCTGGAAGGGTTGTAAGCTCACTGCGCAGGGTTATGTGTTCATTAGAAACATTCTTCTGTCTTATGGTTCTGTTGTTAGCCAAAAAAAACTTTACATTTATTAAAGTTTAATTATGGAAGAAATAAGTAAATATGATGAGCTGATTAGGCAGTTTTATTTAAACCAATTAATGGTTTGATTACATAATATGGAGGGTTCCAACAATAATGTTGACGAAGGACAAGGTTTTCGCTGGCCTGATCTCTTGGAAAAGACAGAACCTTCCTTGTCAACTCAGGATCCTCTCATTGAATACAATGTAGGAACCGAACAGATAACCAAGATGGTCAAGGTAAGTGGTTTTTTGTCTAAAAACCAGCATGAGCAAATGGTAACGCTAATTCGGGACCACATGGAGTGTCTGGCATGGGATTACTCCGAGATGCCCGGATTGGCACGCGATTTGATAGAATATAGGTTGCCTATTAAGAAAGGGTTTAGGCCATGTAAGCAACCACCAAGAAGAGTTAGTCCAGAATTGCTGCCCCAGATCAAAGAAGAGATTGAGAAATTGTTGAAGGTGGGATTCATTCGACCCTGTCGGTATGCAGAATGGTTAGCCAATATTGTTCCGGTAACCAAAAGAATGGAAAGATTCGGACCTGCATTGATTTCAGAGATCTCAATTTAGCCACTCTGAAAGATGAGTATGTGATGCCCATAGCCGATATGTTGATCGATTCGGCGGCAGGGCATCGAATTTTGAGCCTGATGGACGGTTATGCAGGGTATAATCAAATATCACTAGCGGAAGAAGATATACCCAAAACCGCGTTCAGATACCCAGGAGCTTTGGGAATATACGAGTGGACAGTTATGCCATTCGGTTTAAAGAATGCTGGAGCAACCTATCAGCGGGCAATGAATACTATCTTTCATAATCTAATCGGGCGGTCCATGGAGGTATATATTGATGATGTGATTATTAAGTCTACTGACTTTAATACACATCTGGTTGATTTAAAAAATGCTTTTCTACGGATGAAGCAGTACAACCTGAAAATGAACCCAACGAAATGTGCCTTTGGAGTTTCGGCAGGTAATCTCCTAGGTTTTTTAGTGCATGAAAAATGAATAGAGGTCGATGCAAACAAAACCAAGGCTATTTTGACAATGCGGCCACCTCGGTCGGTCAAAGAAGTGCAAAGCTTGTTGGGGAAGGTAAATTACCTAAGGCGTTTCATATCAAATGTTGCAGGGAAGTTAAAACACATCACAAAGTTGCTAAAGAATAAGGCAACCGATTTCTCTTGGGGTCTGGAGCAGCAAGAAGCATTAGAAGAAATCAAGCAGACATTAACCAAAACACCTGTGTTGGTTCCCCCAAGAGGAGATCGACCCGTTTGACTGTATGTAGCGAACAACTTTGATGTAGTGAGCAGTTTGTTAGCATAAGAATGGGAAGAGAGTAAGCAAAGGGCTATTTATTATTTAAGCAAAACTCTGGCAGGACCAGAGTTGAATTATACTATGCCCGAGAAAATGTGCTATTCTTTAGTTTTTGCGTGTACTCGGCTGGAGCATTATATTCTGCCAAGAGAAACGGAGGTGGTTTCCAAAGTGGATCTGATCACATTAATTCTGCAGAGACCTACAATGCAGGGAAGGTTAATGAAATGGTCCATCAAATTAGCTCCTTTCGCGCTGCAACATCGACCTATCGAAGCGGTGAAAGGGTAGGTTGTGGCCGATTTGTTGGTTGAATTTGCTGACGACGAACCAGTGGAAAATAAAATAGTGCCGTATATAAGCACTAGTCCTTGGAAAATGTTTTTTGATGGTTCTCGTTCAAAAGGGAAGTCAGGAGCATGGGTAATATTAGAAGGACCAGTGCAGCTTCAAATGGAAGAGATGACTCATAACTCTGCGGAATACGAAGTGCTGATTTCTGTTCTAATTTGTGGAGATTCGCAGCTGGTCATCAATCAAGTGTTAAGACGGTACGCTTGTAATTATCCTCATTTGCGTCAATATCGGGATTTGGTATATCGCCTATTATATAAAATTGCGGAGGTAGTTATTGAGCGTGTACCGAGAACAGAGAATCGGCTAGCAAATAATCTGGCTCAGAATGCCTACTAGCAAATGATTGGTAGCATCGATACCGATACTGATTGGAGAATAGAAATTATGATCTATCTGGAATCACCAAATTCTATGACTCATGTGAGCGTTCGACTGAAAGCATTACGTTTCCAGTTTATTGAAGGGGTTCTGTATAAGAGAGCATTTGAAGGAATATTGTTGAGGTGTTTGGGGCCAGAAGAATCCATCAAAGTAATAGAGGAAGTTCATGGCGGGATTTGTGGAGCACACCGAGCAGGATTAAACATGCAATGGGCTATCCACCGTATGGGGTTTTATTAGCCAAAGATATTTTATGATTGTATCATATTTGCTAAAGGGTGTAAGGAGTGCCAGAGGCATGGTCCATTAAATCATCTGCCAGTGGTGGAACTCCAGGCGATAGTTAAACCATGGCCATTCAAGGCTTGGGCGTTGGATGTGATAGGGAAAATTCATCCAGCGTCATTGAAGCAACATTCATTCATTCTGGTAGCAACTGATTACTTCACCAAATGGGTAGAGGCAGTCCCTTTGAAGAATGCGACGCAAAAAGAGGTGATTGAGTTTGTACTCAATCACATTATTTATCGATTTGGGATTCCCCATACCCTTACAACCGATCAGGGTTTGATGTTTACAGGGGAGAAATTTGTTGAATTTTTGGCCGAGTTCAACATCAAATTGCATCACTCTTCACCGTATTACCCACAGGCTAATGGGTTGGCCGAAGCGGAAAATAAAATTGTCATCGGCATTATCTAGAAAATGGTAGAAGAAAATCCAAGGAAATGGCACACATTGCTACAAAAGGCATTGTACGCTCACCGAAATAGTAGAAATACTTCTACTGGATTCTCCCCCTACCAATTAACATTCGGGCAAGATGCTGTGCTTCCTGCCGAGTTTATTGTATCTTCACCCAGGGTGGTTAATACAACAACATGTATTGATGAGGCATATGCACAAAGGATGTGGCAACAACTGGAGGATGTGGACACAGATCGGTTAAATGCTCTGGATCAAGTGGTTAGACAGAGTGAGATTAGAGCAAAATATTATGGAAAAAGAGTGTCTCCAAAGGTTTTTGCAGAAGGAGATTTGGTTTGGAAAACAATTCTGCCTACGTATAAGAAGGTGGACCAATTAGGGAAATGGTTCCCCAATTGGGAAGGCCCTTTTATCGTTCGCAGAGTAATCGGAAATGGAGCTTTTATTATTGTAAATCAAGAACGATAGCTGGTATATGAAAATATTGATGCTAAGTATCTGAAAAGGTATTACCCTTCCTTTTCAGAACATTGTCATTAAATCTTATTACAAAATCTAGGAACCCCTTCAAAGGGTTCGAACCTACTGAAAAGGGTTCTTTAGTCATCATCCGAAAAGGTAACACAAGGGATATCGTCTTCTGGATCAGAGGTTTCATCCCGACTCGCAGAGACCATTTCGGGTTCTTCATCCAAGAGGTCGTCTAGATCAAGGCAATAGCGATCCCAGTGATCTTGCATTTCTTGAAGGTCTTGTTCGGTGCGGACTTTCATGTCTTGCAGAGATTGGCTTTCTCTTTCAACAAGAACATGCAGCTTGGAGAGTGTTGATCTTTGCTGGTGGAAAATGTTGTTCCAGTTGAGGTATGCGAGAATGACCGAGACATGATGGTCTATCATATCTAGATGATGGTCGAGATCGGAAACGCGAGTAAGTATATCAGTAAAGGGTTCATAACTGGTAGATACGCGTTCCATTAAACAGATTGTGCGATGTATGGTTCTTCTTCCTCTGCCAGAAAATTTAAATTTAAAGTCCAGTTGTTTGAGCACCTGTATCATGTCTTTGGCATGATGACCTATGGGGTGTTTTCCCACAAGGAATGGTTGCAAAGAACCTTCCCAGTTGGAAGAAAGGACGCGAATACGAGGAGAAACCATTTTTGAGTGTGATGTGGTGGATGCAGATGATGTTTGCAGTAAGAAAATAGAGTATATATAGGTGTTGTGGTGTATAATTCCTGACTTAGTAAAAGTGCAAAGAACATGGATCTGTGTTATAAAAAGTAGGATATATATATATACTAAGTTTAGGAGTTATATACAAACTACATTAGATTTACAGAAAAAGTAGGGCCCCTAAGGGCAGTTTGGAGGTCGGCCCACTTTAGCTCTGACTTTGTGGCCCGCCGACACTGGTAGGCCTCCTGGTGTCCCCGGACGAGTCGCATTCGCATGGCTGTTTGGAGTTGCTCACAGAGACTCATCTGGGTCTGGCAATGTGCCTCCAATAGGCGAATCCCTTCCTGGATGCTGTCATCCAGGGACTTCAACTGTTCTTGGAGGCGCCTGAGCTCTTCCGTTTTTTGGGAAATCTCAGCCACCAGCGTGTGTCGCGCTTGTCGGAGTTCTTCTAGCGTAGCCTTGGCAAGATTAAGGTCTTGATCGACCTTCTTCAAGGTTGTCTCAAGATTGGTTGGATCAGCGGTCGGTTGAGATGACGTGGCCTCGGACGATGGAGGTCGGATCAGAGGCAGCTCGGCTCGAAGTTCGGTGATCCTTGCCATCATCGGATCGAGGACGGGGGAAGCTTCTGAATCTAGTGTGGGCTGCACTAGCAAGTCTATCGCGACCTGAACTAGAGCTTCGAGGTCAGCTAAACTTAGGTCGGCAAAAGACAGGTTGGCGCAGCATTCTATGATAGATCGGGCGGGAGTCGGAAGGTTCACTCAGGCCAAAATGTTCATCTCTTGGGCAGCCTGAGACGAAAGGAAAATGTCAAGTACGGAAAAACGTGGTGAACTCATTACGATATAAAGATGGGGTTTACCTGATTTAGAGCGGCCGTGGCTTCAGAAGGGGCCATGAGTCGGAATATCGTGGGGACACCATGACGAGTCGTCGGACCAGCTACCGACTCGTCTCCCGGTTGCAGACGGTGGGCGACGGCCAGCTCCATGCCCTGAAAGGAAAAAATTAAACTACGGAGCAGGATGAAAAGTTAGAAAGCAGAGGTGAGAGAATACTAACCGAACCCCTTAGGGCAAAGTTGACTGAAGCCTCGCCCGACTTCGAGGAAGAAATCTCCTTTATGTCGTGAGGCGGCGGGATCGGTTGGACAAGTTGAGGAGCGACCAGACGAACCTCGCCCACAGGCTGAGCAGCTGGCTGCAAAGGCAACACAGCAGCGGGGTCGGGCAGTGCCACGACTAGGGCAAGTAGTTCCGCAACCTGGTCGGGGAAGGCGACAAGTTGGTCGGGCATCACCGCTGCCACATCAGTTACTTGTGGTAGTGGAAGAGCAGGTGAAGGCAAAACTGGAGGAGAAATTTGCCTTCCCGCCGACTCCTCCGGCCGGTGGATCATTGGCAGTTCCCCTTCTGCGACAATGGGGGTCGGTTGAGGAGCAACCGACGAAAAACTCAAGTTGACCTACAGGGGAATTGAAATTAGTGGTTGGGTAAGTATTTTATTTTTCTTAAAGGTATTAGGAAATACTTACCTCAGCCAGCAGAGGGGTCGGTTGTGCGATGGTCGGTCAACCAGCGGTCGGGGGGTTTTCTGGAGAACCGACAGGTTAAGCGGGTACTTGTTCGGCCGGGGTCGGTGGTGCAGCTATCAGTTGATTGGCAGTCGGGGTAGAAGTTGATGAGGATACTTGCCTCACAGTCGGGTCCTCTCCCCGACAGGTCATTGGCAGTACTACGGACCGCGGTCGGGACCGCGGCTGACTGGGAGGAAGTCAGAGTGATGGGCGATTGCGCCGCAGTCGGTTGAGCCGTGGTCGGCTGAGTCTCGGTCGGCTGGGAGAAAGTCGGGGCCGTGGTCGGTGGCAATGAAGGATCCTCTGGAATAGGAACCATTAAAATTAAAAGGGGCATACATCGAAAAGGAAACATGGAAAGAAAAAAGACTTACCAAATTGCTCCCTCAAGTATTTTGGTAGTCCGCTTCTGTCTACTGGAAGAGACGCCAGGTACTCCTCGATGGCTTGTCTGTCGATGACAGGGGCGGCCTTCTGTTTCTTCTTTTTCATTCCGGACCCGCCTGCGGCAGGTGCCTGCCTTTTCCTTCTCGGAGTAACGGCTAATCGAGGGGAACCTAACGCCAAGGTTTGGGGCGGGACAAGTTTCCCAACCAACTGGTTGATTGAAGGAGCAATTAGGGACCAAGTGGCCGACCACCAGGACAGGAAGGCTTCAGCCGCCGAGGGTTTACAGAGAAAGGGCAAGTAAGAGTTAGAGGTAATGTAGTCAGTGAGTTGAGAAAGGTAGGTCGGGATGAGCTCAGGGATCACCAGGCCTTCTGGGTTCTGAGGTATAAGGTAAGGTCGGGCTAGTGGTCCCGGCAGACCCTGACAACAACCAAATTGTCGGGCCAAGAATTGGGGCTGATAATTAAAGGTATAAAATGATCTATGATGTTTCTTGTCCGACCTCTTACCAGAAAATAGAGATCGGGGTTTCATGGCGGAATCCCAGGAGAAGGGATAAGTCGGATGGGGAAGAGGATCAGGATAAGGTCGGGGATATGGTGCGTCAGGGAAAAGCCAAAAAAGTTCGGTAGCATACTGTATAAGGGTTTCATATACGTAAAAGCGAGAATTGCTACGGTTTTCAGTCAAAATTTGGTTGATGACAGGGTCAGATGGATGGAGGTTAGAGGAACTAGGAGTTAACCTGGCCAAGACGTAACCTATAGACCTCTAGGGGTTCGGGGTGATAGGTAGTCGGCCAAAAAAGGCATTTGGGAAGTAAAGGCGGAGCCACAGCTCCAGGAACCAAAATGGTCCCGAAGCAGCTGTGTCCGCCTTCTTGGTGTCGGTTAGGCTGGTGCTCACTCGGGATAAACCCTAAAAAAGATTAGCTAAAAATAGGGTTTCTAGAAAGAAAAATTGGCCACTGGCCAGATGAATGTCTAGATCAACCTGGGAAGAAAGAACAAGCTTGGAAGGAGAAAGAATTATATATCTGTGAAGAGAGAAAAGCTCAATTAAAGATTTGACTTCAAGTTTACATAGAAAAATTTAAGGGAAAGAAAATGTACCTGGATAGCCAAAAAAGGAGAAACGCTGTGTGTTCCAACTCGGACACAGGGGTGCCTTCCTCGCCCAAAAATTTGGAGACAAAGTTGGTCCAGCTTCTCTCCTTCTCAGCAAGTTTAGCGAGAGCCCAACCAGCATGGTTGGGCGAGCGCTTCCGACCCTCGAAAGAGACCAGAACAGGATCATCGCCCACTATGGGTAAGTGAGCGACGAGGGCCACGTCCATAAGGGTCGGACCAATGGGACCAGAAGGGAGAAAGAAAACTCCCGTATGTGCGTTCCAGAGAGCTGCCATCGCCAACAGGGCTTTATCATGGAGGTAAAGAGGTTGGGTTGACAGTAGGATGGCCTTGTCTATGCCCTGCTTCCTCCACTGCGTTTCAAAATGAGGGAGAAGTCTTGCGTGCCACCTACGATAGGCGTCTTTAGGATCAGTAAGGTGGGTCCTGATGTTGTCCAGCAGACGTTCCGGCTTAAACGTCACATCATTGATGATTATCGAAGAAACTTGAGATATAACAGATTTCATGCGATCTGCATACTCACTTGTGGTACAATAAGGCCGAACGATGGGGGTGAGAACCCTTGAAACCACAAATGGCACCGAGGGGTCAATTCCGTCAAAAGGGAGAGCGGGAACATATTGATTGGCCATTTTCAAAGGAAATAACGAGATCGAATGAGCAGGGGTTTTTGGAAGATGATCGCTGGGAAGAGAAAAGAGGGTTTCAGGATTTTGAGTGCATGAGTATGGAAAAGTAAGAGAAGGGTTTTACATAAACCCCGCGATGTGACATAAACAGTGTAATGATAGCACTATGTTACAAACCCCTAAACGTCACGTCTCGCGCAGTCCGAGAAGTGACACTTAGGAGTCGGGCGGGAAGAGGCAAGTTGTTGAGCAAGAAAAAATCAATGTGTAGGGTTTTCGAGCATGGGCCTATTAAATTGGGTTAAGGATTAATGTAGAATCTAATGGGCCTGTTAATAGTAGTAGGACCTTAAAAAAAGGTCCAAATATAAGTCCAAGCGCTATTAAGAAAAAGGTCTCCTCGGGAGATAACTGTGATTAAGAGGTCGGACAAGAGAAAGTCGGATGAAAAGGGGAAAACAATATGCACTCAGGTTGGGCGACATATAGGTCGGGCAAAAGGAAGACGGGCAACAGGAAGTCGGACGAAGAAAGATAAGGGCCGATACGAAAG